GATATGGGAAGTTAGGCCAAGACAATCAAAACTAGCTAGTAGTTTGGAGCACTCAGTTGTAGTACCTTAGAAGTGGCTAATTTTTCACAAGCAGCTTTGCAGTGCTTTCTGAAGGCCATACCACTTTAAGGAAGCCTTGAATTTGGAGTTAAAAAATTGAGAGTCACTTTTGAAAATGCTGGTGATAAGCTTCTAGCAGCCTGGGACTTAGACACAGCATCCTGCACATAAGCAGTGGCCCACTTCCTGGCATGGAATGACCGAGAGCTCTTCTCAGCTTGGGCAGGAGAGGCAGTCATCAAGGCACCGACAGATGGATTTTGTTTTCTGATAGCTTTCAGCTGGGCTATATGGAAGATGGAAAAAACAACTCTGGATAGTCCCAGAGGAAGTCCTTGCAACTTCATCTGAGCTTTGGAAGAAGACAGTGTCAGACCACACTGAAATCCCATCAATTTATATTCCTGAAATTAGTGTCCAGCACATTCAAAACCTGCACAAAGTATTTTTTTTTCAGGCAGCTTGTGGTCAGCACACACAGTATGCTGCTCTAGGGCAGCTCACGTGCTGTAACAAGTTTTCAGAGTTTGGTGACCACTGTGACTACTAACATTAGAAGACATGCTGTGCTGTAGGGCATAATCCAACCCCAATGCACAGTGCAGCATAAACAACCAGGTTCCTGCTAGGGCCTTTTTTTGTCCTTTGCAGCTCCAGGTAGAGTTGGATATGGGCGTGACCTGCTGTGCGCACCAGATGTGGTACTTTTCCCATCTTGTTCTGCTGATTGTGACAGCCACAGTAGTCATGGTTTACTTGCAAAACTGCTGCTGGCTGCCAGGTACCTGTGCACAGAGATAGCTCCTCCTGCATCTGCTGCCTTTTGCTTTTAAATCACCTGTTTCTTAACCTTCCCATAAGTTAATGCTGCCATCTTCCATTACTGTAGCAAACAACTGACATTAGGATGTTGCATGAAGTTGTGTCTTCGCTGCAGAGCTAACTCAACTGATCAGCACCCAGGTGGGCTTAGCCGAGGTGTGAGCAGCCACACCACAGAAGCCTCCAGAGTTAGTGTCACACCAGAGAGAAGGAAGTAACTCATGCATCCCTAAAACTTGGGATAGGCATGTCCCATCATGCTTTGTGCTGCATGAAGCTAAGCTGTTCTAGGATTCTTTCCCAGTGAAGTGGGGAAGACCTTGTCTTGTCCTTCTGAGCACATGGTGGTGGTAGGGAATTATGGGAAGGCACTGGAGGACTATCAACCCTAGAATGGTTTAACACACATCATCACTACAAAGAATGTGCGCAAGAGTGAACAGAACAACACCCAAATGTTAGGCTGTATCCTGAGCTGGGCCAGCACATCCTGCCAAATGCAACTATTCTTGGTGCCAGCATTGCTTGAAGAAGAAAATTCATGGCAGTTGGTAATAAAATAGTGCCTGGGGTTGAGCTTTGCCAGAGCATGACCATTGCTTTTGAAAAACCCACATAAATCACATCTTTAGAGGGCCAGGAAGGCCCTGATTTTCCTTGTCTTGTGGCTGCACTGAATGTTATGCTACAGAAGCACCCCAAAAACAGGCATTACTCACCAGCAACAGTGTAATAAAGCCAAGTCTTTTACCCTTAGGACAACCACCCTTATTTTATGTATCCCTTGTTCATCAGGGCCTTCCACCAGCTACTGTGCTTGCAATAGGCAATACCAAATAGGTGCAAAATCTACCAGTCTGTGCTCTCCCTGTACCTCTCACAGGTTAAACCTGTTACAGCATCAGCAGAGGAGAAAGCTTCTGCCCTAGATATTTCATTTTAAAGACGGAAAGAAATAACCCTGACTTGACTCCTCTTCTGTGCCTACACGTTTGATTCCTGGGTAGGACCCTTTAGAGGTAAGGGACCTGCACTGGATTTCTGTACCCATCTGGAGAGGACTCCAAGTGTAGGTCCTAGGATCAAGGACACTGATGGATTCTACCAGTCCCCCTCCTGTGAATTGCCCGGAGTCACCAGGAGGGTTTGGAGAATGGAGGATGAATTAGGAATTTTGGATGAGGGAAGCTCTCGTTGACCTTGTTCTTGTCATGGAGATGTTCCCAAATGCATTTTTACACTCCCTGAGAGAAATTTTGGGCCCCATGCTGGGAAGGGAACCCGGCACAGGCACTTCAGAGAGCATGACTATTTGGAAGCAAACAGCAAAATATTTAACTCCTCCCACTGGTGACATTGTGAAGATGCCAACAGAAATGGGTAAAGAATTAAACAACCAAGGCAGCAGAACCATCTTTGGTAACCTCATAATACCTGCCCTCCCTGCTACCTGGTCATGTCTAATAGCTTTCCTAGGACCATTTAACACTCCAGTGGAGGAAATAAATGGGACTAGAAAGCCAAACCGCTCTCAAGTTGTGATGGGACTTCTCCAAACAGGACAAAAGCTACTTCAGGTTTAACGCTGAGGAAAAAAGGGAGGACTTTCTTATTTAAGAACATTTATTGCTTGTAGTTATACTCTATAGATTGTGAAGAGATCATTCAGAGAAGGCAGATGCATGTGTGTGTCAGGCTCTTGGCTTATGCGATCAGCAAATACAACATGGGAAAAACCAAACATTCCAGACAAAAATAAATCTTTGAAAACAGACCCAGTGGGAGGCACTAACAGCAAGCTCTGGCCCCACAACATGGATTTACAGAGAAGCAGAAGGAAAGGCTCAGCCAATTTGGTTTATATTAGACTGAAGCAAGAACTTGCCCTCACCACAGCAGGGCCCACAGTTGAGAAGCATCAACAGGAGGGACTGTCAGTGGGCACGACATGCTTAATGCCCATTGGACTAATTCTACTGCATATTAGCGTGGCTGGCAAAAACCATGCTAATGCACAGTAGATTAGTCCAGTGGGCATTAAGCATCACCCAAAAAGCATTCATCTGCGCTATTGTGCAGCGTCACCCATTACAGCGCATTAAGTTAGTACCTGTTATTACAGGCATTAAATTTAATGCACTGTAATTACGGCACATTAATGAACATGTAGACATGCCCACTGACTGCTAAGGGTTGTATGTAAAAGGTTTAGCAACCGGGTCTGGATCCTGCTCTGCCATCAGTGATGATGACCTGGTCTTCTCCCAGCTCTGTTATAGCCAAAGGGCCAAACTGTGGTGCCATTTAGTTCACTGGCAGGCACTTACTCATGAGAGCAGTGCCACTGACATTAATAGGACTACTTGCACAATTAGCATAAGCAGTCAAAGCTTTCCTTTAATCTCCTTCCTGTTGCATCCTGGGAGCAACAGCACAGGGTGGGTTTACCCTGCTCTTCTCCAACCTGCAGACACCAGTGAAAATTGTCTCTTGGGAGGTGAACAACACCCAGGTTCAAGAGATCACAATATGATACACAGGCCCACTAACTCCCACCCTTCTCCAATATCTCACCTGAAAAAGTGGGAAGAGTTAAACATTCCTAACCCAGATCTAGAGATTTGCTTTCCCTCTAGAACAGATATAGACAGGACAGCAAGAAGTAACTGTGTATGCAATGACATTGCATTGCTTCCACTGCAAACACAGCAGGCAGCATAAATCCCAGCGAAACATATGTTTTCATCGAGTTGGTATCATCTCCTGAGCGCTTGCTCTGGGGGCTCCTGTGTGGGTGCCATGCCACTTATGCACCCACTCAGGTCTGCATGCCTGTTCACTGCCAAGACTGAAAGAATTAACCTAGGCCAAGATCCATTTTCTTCTTCCATAACCCTGACAACCCACAGGACAACCCTGTTATCTGACTCCAACTTTTTTTCCTTCTCTGCCAGGAAATGCTAAAAGCAGCAGAAGGAACTCTCTGCCACAACATCGCCTCCTGGTAGAAGCATTCGCACAATCCATTACAGCAGATCAGATCCATGCAAAGACAGAATGTATTCCTGACCAGACCTACTCTTTTCCCTAAGGTGTTTGGATGCTACAAATTGCTGGTTTTGAGCCACTAACTCATGTTCCTCCCTGAAACTTCTGGAAACTCTAAAACCAAGGTCTGAAAGTGATGAGATTTCTAGGGATCTCCGTGGACCCCTAGATTTCATTCCTTGTACAGCCTTTCTGCCCGTAGGGAACAATGCCATATGGAAAGTGAATCAAAGGAGAAGTCCTTACCTCTGTCAGAAACAGTTAAAAACCAAGAGATCCCAAAAGCGTTTCTGACTCCTGCAAATAGAAGAAATTAACTAGCTGTTTTAATCTCCCTGTCTGGAAGGAACTGGGTCATATGGCAGAGGCAGCCAATGGAGAAGGGAGTTTACCTAAATTGTTCCCACCCACCCCCAAGGATTTGGCCATACAAGGCAAAAGAATGCTGCAAGCTGTGGCAGCAGCCCAGCTGTGGGACACTGGATTTTGGGATATGAGTGCAAGGGAAGAGGGGGGGAAATAGAGGGCTCCAGAGAAGAAGATGATTCTGCCTTATATAGATGAAATGCTGACGGAAAAAGCAACAGAGGCCCTTATGCAAGGGGAGCCAACGCTGCAGTGACAAGTGCCAGCTCCTAGGAAGAGATAAAGCTTCCTTTATAAGGGTACAGGATTTCCAAGCAACACTTTTTTTATATGTGCCTTTTAAACAAAGGTACAAAAATAAAAAGTTAGGGATCCCCTGAGCACGTGAGCAGTATTTCTAGTGCTCAGTAAGTGTATGAATTGTTCCAGCTGTTTCCTTGTACAGAAAAGATGCTGCTTAGGAACAGTGAGATTTATTTTAGCTGTGAACTCTGCTGCCGGCAGTACTCCAGAACGATTCCCTATATGGCCTCCTGCTGGGATTGGCATACCTTTGTGCTCTGTTACAGGCAGAACTTTTATCCTGTCCTCTACAGCGCCTCCATGGGAAGGGGCAGGGGGGACTGGAACTGGGATTGTATTAGCTGTGAGCTCCCACAAAGGATGAACTGCTGCATTCTTCCTTATGGTGACTCTTCCTGGTGAGGCTGGGTCTGGAGTAGCTTAGAGTGCCTCACTTCCAATTACAGTACTTATAACAGGTCCTTATGACAGTGACTAGAACAGTAACAGCTGACAGAGTCTGGATTCTGCTTGGGCAATGGCAGCCATTCACAGCAGGGCCTAATGCACTTTTAGTTCCCAGGCAGACTTTTTACAACCCACATCTCACTAGGCTGCCTGGGACAGGGCACACCAGGGGCTGAATCTATCTATTGAGTGCATAAGTGGATTTAGGCACCTAACTGCAATGCTGCTCCATCATGCTTGAGTCCCTGAAAAAGAGTTGATACAAAAAAGTGAGCAAATCCTTCCTCCTTGCTATTTTTTGTGACTCAGTTTGCAGGGTAAGGTGACAGTGTGTTACAAAAATGGATGCATCAATGAATGTCCAAGGTTTGAAAAGGACGGAATAGAGTCAAACAAGCCCACTTAGATGCCTCAAAGGAGGAACAGTATCTGGCCCCAGGTACCCTTATAGGTCAGGTACTATACTGCTAGTCTGTGGGGTCCCATAAGCTATGCACATTAAAGAGATTGGAAAGGGTTTCTATATTAGACTTTTGTACCTAGAATTTGATGATGTTGCTACCCGGTGTCAGCTTCCCCCAGTGCCAGCCACTGTGTGAGCAGTAAGTAGTATGAGCAAGATTCTGAGCAGCTGTTGGTAGTTAAAGCACCAAATCATCTAAGTGGGTGGGTGGACTCAGGAGATCAGGACTCTATTTTCGGCTCTGTCACTGGCTAGCTGACTGTCTTTAGTTATGTCACTTCATCCCTGCCTCAGTATCCCCATCTGTAAAACAGGAATAATAACCTTCTTTGTGACATGTGTTGAGTTCCACTGATAAAAAGCTTTATAGAAGACCTGGGTATTATTATTACCACGTGACATCTTTGTTAAAATGATAGCTGTTGCTAGTGCCTTATCTACACTAACACTCACCCTGTAGTTATTTCTAGAAAGCTGAACTGCTGAAGGCCACGGTAGGAAATCTGGGGTAAAGAATTTGTGTAAAGCAGGCCTCAGCAGGTGAGTAAACAGTGTCTGACCCCTCTCAGGCTGGGCTGTAGCACAGCTGAATACCATGCACTGTATTAATTTGGGGTATAGTTCTCTGTTCGTATTCTTCTATGCCAAGGAGGAATAATCTAGAGCAGTGGGGGGCCAGTCTTTTTCGATGGTGCGCCAGAAATTAGCCCCATACTCTCCCTGTGTATCATTCCAATCCACTGCCTCTGTCCAGTCTGCTGTTCTGTCTTCTGCTTCCTTCTCTCTCTGCTGCTGTGCTGCCTGTTCCCTCATAATCTGCTGTGCACCACGTCCAGAGGCTGCCCAGGCCGCTTGTGACACACGTGCCACAGTTGGGCCGCCCCTGACCTAGCAGATAAGACGTAGCCTTGGGACCCAACGACTTCAGCTCCATTCTTGGCTCAGTCTCCCATTTCCTCAGAGACCCTAGACAAATCTACTCTATGCCTTAGCTCCCCATGCTTTCAGGGAGGGCACTGGTGTGGTGAAGTGCTGGGCTGCTACAGCTAAGCAGTGGTAGGAGAGACCTCCTCAGTCATGTACCCCTTCCTCCTCATTAACAGCTGTGCTAACTTACTGGTTCATTTGTACAAGTCCACTTCTCTTATAACTGCATGGATGTCCCTGCTTGGGATGTCTGGATCTAAAGGCTTCTAGTCCTGAAGCTAATGGTTGAGTAGACTCAAACCTCTGTCAACACCCTCGCCTCTAGGGGTGTGTACAGAAGTGTCCTGTGCACATTTTACAGCACTGTAATTTAGAGCACTTTTTATACCGCTATAAAGTTGCAGCACTCTTATTAAACATGACAGAAGTGCTGTGTTTGGTGGGGGGGAGCCTCTGATCCTCCCTGCACTTTCCAGGCTACTAAATGGGGAGAGCTCCACAGTGCTTCAAATTTAATACCTCATTTAAAAAGGGTTAATTTAAAGCACTTTACCCATTTTTAAAGTGCTGTAAAGCTGTGTACTTCTGTTAAGTTATGGCAATAAAGTGCTTTAAATGGCAAGAAAAGCAACAGGAGGCGCCCATTTGACCAGTATATTACATAAAATCAATGTCCAGAGCTGTTAGTGCTTTACCAAGATGTGGGACACTAGTAGCGTGTCCCTGTTCTGCTTTCAGCCACAGGCCAACACTGACAGGCTTCGCCGGGTCTCCTGTTCTTACTGTTCCACTAGTGACAGGGTTCTCCTCTTTT